TTCATTACCAGAGGAGCTGCTTCAGTGACTGGACTTGTGGAGTTCACAGCTGTGGGGAACTCCTGCCATTAAGACTGTCCCAGAGTCAGAGTTTCCTGATATTTCAGTTCTCTGCCCTGAAGCCACAGGAACCCCAGCCCCAGTGATTCAGCCCAGAGCCAGAAAAAACTCTCAACTTCTAATAGGACTCTCAGGACAGTTGGGCTTTCACACAAAAAAAGCCAGAAGCACAGGAGCCCAGACAGCCAAACCTTGAAACTCCTGCCCAAGTCCTCATTCCAAATTTCCAGATTCCTCTGTCTCTGTCCATCTAGCTGACAGAAAACAGGGAGATGGGAACTTGAAGTTTCAGGAGCTGCAGCTGAGGCAGAAGCCTCAGAGCTTGGGCTCTCAAGCTTGGTGCTGTTTCAAAGTAATTTAAACAAACTATGTGACCTTTAGAAAGATTTTTCTGCTTTCCTCTCTAAATGAAACATTCAAAATTTCAAATTAAAGGTGCTTTTTAAAAAAATAATTGAATCTAGAAATGGAACTGTAGTTTTGAGCATCTACAGCACAGAATCCATGGCTGAGTATTTTTTACTGGTCTACGATACAGAGTAATCCCAATAAGACCACAAAATTTTAGAATATTTTAAGTTGGAAGAGATGCATAAGGATCACCAAGCCCAACTCCCTGCTCTTCAGAGAACTACCTAGACTGAAAAGGAATCACTGGCTTCACAAGAAATCCTAGAGTATACACAAGGACTCAGTGAAAAGTGTAATGGTAATGAGATATGGAGAGATTTCACCCTCAAGTAAGTGGTTCTGACAAAAAAGAAAAAAGCTTTTTTTTCTCTTTACAAAATAAATGTGTTTCAGAAGTTCAACTCAAATTCCAGTTACAACAAGAACAGAATTACTCTCCCTAGAACTGAAGTCCACCTGCTTTATCTAGCTGTGCTCTTGATACACAGGGGTGATGCTCCCCCACTAGGATCTGGAATGCCATAATTTCTCAGAATATTGTAATTTCATAATATCATAATTTCTAAGCCTGCTCCAACACTGCAATATTCATCCTCATGGCATGCCAGGTATTTGTCACCTATGTGGAAGGTCGGAATTTAGCTCTGATGAAGACACATCTCACACTACATGGGCTTAGCTTTTCACAAGTGAGGTGAAAGTGAGCTTTCACATGGAATCCCAAGAATATGTAAATCTGTGCCATCAAACAACATCTATTGGCAGTTTATTAATATTTTGATGCTACTGTTTGCTTCTGTCAAACCCAATGCCATGAAATCACTTTGCCCAGCTTCTGCACCTATCTGTAAACTCCTGTGATAACTGTGTTTCCCAAAACTGACTCTAGCTGCTACACGTAACTACGCATTTCCTCTTTTGTTCACACTGCTGGGGAGTCCATGGACCTACAATCATAGAATCATTAAGGCTGGAAAAGGCCTCCAAGATCATCAAGTTCAACCTTTGACTGAGCACCATCACGCCAACTTAACTACAGCACTAAATGCCACATCCAGTTGTTTCTTGAACACTCCACAGACAGTGATTTCACCACTCCCTGGACAGTCTGTCCCAATGCTTTAGCCATCCTTCCACTGAAAAAATTCTTCCTGATGTCCAACAGGTCTTCCAACCTGAAAGCAAGTTTCTTGGTGTAGCTGAATCCCCTTGCAAAATATGTATAACATAAAATAATTTGAGAAACAGTAAGTTCAAGTGCATGCCACAATCAGCCTCACACTCTTGACACATTCAATCCACATGATACAGGTACCCAAGGACATATCATTAGATACATAACAACACCTATTAATTAAGCAAGTAATTAAAAAAATAATGGTGTAACTAAGCACAGTCTGTTTATCTCCCAGGCAAATCTAGAAGAAAATCCAGCTACATTCAAACAGTGTGGCAGAAATAGCTTCCCTTTTTAAAATTTTCTAACCCTTTCACACATAATTGCACTGTAACCCAAAGATTCTTACTAATATCCTATAAAGATTCTCACTTATACCCTACAAAGATTCTCATCACATCTGAAGAAATAACAGAATTTATTCAGCTCACTTATGGCATCATCATGTTTAATTATTTCTAGTAATGAGCCTCATGTGACAGAATCCAGGTGGCCTTAAAAAACTGACATGTTTATTATCCATATTTCCTATGTGTGTGTTTTTACTACATAAGTATTCCCTTATCTCTGTTTATCAGGAGCTGGAAGTCACCTGAAGTTAACACTCTGAAATGGCATATACTAATACTGATCTTAACTCTGCATTATTAAAATTAAAATAAAATTCTGTATCAACCAAGAAAAATACTTCATTAGAAAAGAAGCCAACTTGTACTTTTTAAAGAGTGGAAAGGAACATTAGATTAAATCAGGTCTTCTTGCACAAAACCCCAAGAATCAGCAATTTCTATTCAGAGGTTTTAAAGAACATTCAACCTTCTTCAAGGTTGCTTATACATCTTTACATCACCCCATCACTATAGAGCTTGAAGTTTTGAACACTTCATATTATACAAGGTCAACAGTATATTCCACAGAATCTCTGGGAAATGTCTTCATCATAGATCCAAGTAAAATTTCTATGTAGAAACAGCTCTTCACAAACTGTCGCTTCTTTCTTAGTTTGGCAGCTTGATCTAAAGTCCATTTTGGGAAATCTTTCTGTAATTAATATACCCCAAACTCACCTCCTCTGAGAACTAGAACAGGTATTTATGCTTACGTAGGGGAAGAGAAACACAGACCTCCTGCTCTGTCCTTAGGCCACTACATTTCTGCCAGTGTAACCCCCTGTGAGGGATCTGCTTGGGAAAAAAAGTGCCTTTATTATGATACTGTTACTCTGCTGTATATAAATGAAAGTGTATATCACTTTCATTTCAGAATAATCTACGCAATACCCCTGAGTAATGCAAAAGGCACAGCTGATGTTATAGAACTGCACTGCTACAGTTCTGCCATGTCAGGTTGCTTATGGGACAAGTTTGTATATCGCAAAGCAGAACTCTTCTCTAAAACTACAAAGCAAGGATACTCTATGTCAGGAGTACACCCTTATTTCACTCACCAACATGATTGATGAAGCCCAAGCTGCACCACAGGCCTTCCCTACTCACGAGGATGTGGCTCAAGCCTTGGTTGGGAAAACCTTCAGTCAAATGAGAGTCAGTGGCAAGACAAAGAGTAATCATGAGTTGCCTTCAAAAATGCACTTGAAGGAAGAGGAAAGACTCTTTCTCTCCACTCAGTAATTCATCTGATGTGCTACTTATCCATGCCAAACTCCTATTTAGTTCAGTGCGGCTGTTTAAGAGCTCAAGTGTAAATATGAAGAGACTCGCTTTGTTTGGTGAAAAACAGGGCCTAGTCAGTTTAGAGACACCAGTGCTCGTGAGGAACTAATGCAATACTTCTTTCCCTTTCTCCCTCTTAAGGGAACTCTTTGGGTGCATGCCAATGTTTCCTGTTTCTGGGATGAGCAGCCAATCCCTGGTAAACATACCTCTGACTTTGGTTCTGCAGCTGCCCTTTGCCTCCAAGTCAGTGGCTATAGCTGCACCTCAGCAACCTCTGAGGGCTCACCCTCGGCTTCCATCTTTTTCCTCCATTTCACCCCTGCTGGCCTTCCCTTTCTGGATTGCTAAGCAATTGAAATTGACATTGAAATTAACTCAGAAATTGAGTCCTGGCCTCTCACAGGCGCTTTCTTGCCAGCAGGCGCCAGGTACTTGGATCTTCCTGCTCTTCACCCAGCTCTCCCGTTCTCGGCACACCGGGCCCACGCTCACCTCCCCATGCTCCCTCACAGCTTTAGAGACGGCCGTCCCAGCAGGCTGTTCCTCGGCCATCGTGCCCGCGCATCAAGGGTCTGCCAGCTCGCGGCACCTTCGAGGCAGCCATGGCGGTGAAGCCCCGCTGCAAAACGCCACCGGGAGCTGAGGGCAGCTCCCGCCGTCGACGCCCGCCCCGCGCCTCTGGAACCTTCCGTGGCGCTGGGGACGAGCTGTGGGCGAGCCGACCCCGAGGGAGCCCTGCCTCGGGCGCCTCGGCCGTCGGGGGCACAGGACCCACCTACAGAGCTCGCCTTCCGCCGGGCACCGCCGCGACCCCACCGGTTCCCGCCGAGAGAGGGGAGGGGGAAGCAGCCCGCCCCCTCTCCCTCCCTCTCTCCCTCCCTCCCTCTCTGCGCTGGCCCTCCGGGAGGCTCGGCTCCAGCTGCCTCGGGGGGAAGGGGGCAGCCGGACCCCCTGGCGGGGGATCTCCTCGGGGCGGGGCCCGCCGCCGCTCCCTCCAGCCGAGCGCGGCCCCCGCGCCGCTCCCGCTCCCGGCGGGCCCCCACGGGCGGCACGCGCGGCCGGTGGATGCCGCCGGGTGACGTGCAGGGCGCGCGGTGGCAGCACCTCCCCGCGCGCCGCTTAAAAAGAAGAAGAAAAGAGGGAGCGAAACATGAGAGCCCGGACGAGCCGCAGCCGCCGCCGCCGGCAGCAGCAGCAGCAGCAGCGGAGGGGGCATCGCCCGGCCCGGCCGCCGCCACAGTCCCGCCGCGGGGACACCCTTCCTATGGGACGACAAGTGGAGGGCTGCTGCTGCCGCCCGCTGCCCGGCCCGCCCCGAGCCTCGGCTCTTCGGCGCGGCAGCGCCAGCTGCTAAAACCTGTGCCGCTCGCACAACTTCGCCGGCTTCGAGCATCCTCCCGCCGGGGCTCGGGGGCTCGGTCCCCCCCGTTCCTGCCTCTTCGGTCCACCTTTTTGGAAGAAGCGGGGGTGGCCGAGGTGCTGTTCCTCCGACCGGAGCTGGTCGGCTCTTTAACCGCTGCTGTTATTATTCTCCTCCAGACTTTCCCCTTCTGGGGGAGGGAGGTGGTTTCCTGATCTGAAGTGCAAAGAAAAGTCAGTGGGATTCCCCTCCTTCCTTCTCCCCCCACCCACCCCCCCCACCCCCGGTTTGGGTGCATTCACACGCTCCCTCAGGCATGATGCTCAAGATGCTGCCGTTTAAGCTGCTGCTGGTGGCCGTGGTTCTGTGCTTCTTCGAGGGGGATGCCAAGTTTGGGGAGAGCGGCGCCCGGAGGAGAAGGTGCCTCAACGGGACCCCGCCGCGGCGGCTGAAGAAGCGGGACCGGCGGGTGCTGTCCCCGGAGGCGCCGGGCGGCGGGGAGGCGATGTGCCGCGGCCTCTACCCCCGTCTGTCCTGCTGCTCCCGCTCCGAGGCGCAGGGTCTGCCGCACGCCGAAGCCAAGGTAAGCACCACCTGGGGCTGCGCCGGGCTTTGCGGGAGGTTTTTGGTGTTCTGGGCTTCTTTTATTATTTTGCGCCGAGCCACGCACCGGCCGCGAACCTGCCGCGCTCCGACGCGGGTGGAGGGGGCGATGCCGCGGCGGGGGGCGGCCGCTCCCGCCCGGGGGGCGAGGGCGCGGCGGGAGCGGGACCCGGGTGTGGGTCTGACGCTGCCTCGGGAGGCGCGGGCAGCCGGCTCAGCTCCGCGCCCGGAGGGGACACGGGCAGCCCGCGGGGGGAGCGCTGTGCCGGCCCTACCGCCGGCTCTGCAGCCGAGTTACTTTTCTGTCCGCAGCGCCCGAGTTTCCGGCGGCGGCCCCGGCGCCGGTCCCGTCCCCGTGCAGCGAGGCCGGGCCGCCCGCAGGTATCGCCGCTGCCCGGGCGCGGCTGCGGGGAAGGGCGGAGGAGCCGGGCGGGCGCCCGGCAGAGGCCGCGGCAGCGGAGGGGCCGGGCTGTGCTTTCGCCCGGCGGTGCCATCCGGGTTGGGGTTTTCCTGGCGTGAAAAATCGTGTCCAGTTTGCTCCACATGCTTACTTCGGGAGGGGGCTTGGATGGTGGCTTGATGCCGGTGTGCCAACATTCCGTGATCTCCGGCCGCCTCGGGGCCCGTGTGCTACTCACGGTTCAGAGTGTCAGCGCCGAAAGCCCCCCGAAGTGTCCGCGGTGGAGCCCGGACTCCCGGCTCTCGCCCAGGGCCGGTGTCTCACCAGGTGCCGTGAGATTCTCTGCCTTTCCACGTTACCTGGCAGCCTCTCTGCCCAATTTCAAGCTGCGGTCATGTGAAGGGAAGCACCTCCTCTGCTCACCGATTTTTTAAAATTGTCAAGTTCTCTGCATCCTTTAGCAAGTTAAATTCTGCTTATCAGCCTGTTGCTTAGATTTTCAAACGCGTGGGTACCTAACCAGGCAGGACTGTGTTTGATAAGCTGTGCTGTGCTGGCCAGTGCTGCATCCGGGGGTATGTACGGGGAGGGAAGTTGCGGAATAATGTCATTAAGAATCACAGCACATGAAATAAACAATCAGGTGCCTTTAAAAAATATTATTACTTTTCCTTTTCTTTCCTTTTTTTTTTTTAAATTGTTTCTGGTTTTGTTTTTTTTTTGGGTTTTTTTAAACATTTCATCCTCCTTTAGGTTTAATTAAGAATTCCTCAGTTACAACTCTCTAGTTGTCAAGGTCTGAGAGACTCTTGGAAAACTTGTGTTTCAGTCTTGCTGGCCCAAGCATAATAAAAAAAAATACCCAGTCTGAATCGAATTTTTATGCTCAGTTCACGGTAGATTTCACTCCATTCTCATGTAAACAGCTTCTACGAATCAACATATGTGTCTGGGTGGTATCTCTCACTTTGTTTTGTAACAAAAAGCCATATTGCATCATTTAATTTGCTCAAGTCATGCAAATAGGAAAAAATCAATAGGACAAAAAGGGGTCGACTTATCCTCCTCCCCACTAAACTGCTGCCCACACACAGAGTCCTGTTGCTTATGGCAAAAGAATAACAACAACACCATTGTGTTTGTTAGTTGGTTCACTAATGGGTGAAACTGGAGAACATCATTCTCCTTCAGTCCCCAGCTCTGTCCAAATGTTCATGCCTTTTGAGGGAGCATTTGTCCTACCCCCTCTATTCCCAGATGATTGAGAACTGTCTTACTGCAGGTTTTCAGCTGCAGATCTCTCTTTATTCATACCATATGCAGCAGCAGTTTGAGATTCAAGGCAGATATATTTCTTCATGTTGTCTAGAGACAGTGTCATTAGGCTCCTGTGTGATGATTGAATTAAACTATAACCACACACAGATAACCTGAACTATCTAGCTGGGGGAAAAAAACCCCAGAAAAATAAAAAGAAAAAAATAATAAGGACTGGAAAATATGTCCTTAATTCACCCTGTTTGCAGTGTCTCCGTGGCATATATACTACTGAGATTATTCAGTGCTTGGAGACCCTTGTGGTAATTGGTTGAATGCAATAAACTGGAAGTTCAACTTTGGTTAGTTTTCCATCCCCAGGCAGTTGAAGTGTTTATTCTCTTCTTACTATTACTTTAAAATATCTTTTAATTCCTTTTCAGTGTGGTTTTTTTCTTACTGATGGTACTAAAAACTTGATGTAAATGTGAGGAAGTGACCACAGTACCTATTCCTGAGCTGCTGAACCCATTTAATTTTGGGGTTTTTTTTTAATATAAATTACATTTTTAAAGGAATGTTGTACAGGGTTGTAAAATCAGACTTTTTTCACTGAAGATTAATTTTAATGAAACTCACAAGTCTGCTTTATCATATGCAATAAAGATATATTATTAAAAAACATGTCAACATATACGTAATTTATAGTTGACAGAATGAGGTGGTCATTCTGTAGAAGACTTGGCAAAGTATTATGGTATACATTTGAATGTAACTTTTCTAAAAGCACGTTATTTTAAACTTTGTTCTACTACAGTTCCCAAACCAGCTTTTTTAAACTCCATCCACTACCTACATGATGGAGAGGCCATGCCATTAACAGAAATCTGAGCACTGCCATCTTTTAAAAAAAAAAAAAAAATTAATTGACCATGCTTAGTAGACATTCTAATAAGATGATGGGTCTATGAGAATTTTTGACCAAATTATTGATCTGTGCTTATAAATGAAAACACCACCTACAGTTTTGGGAACAATAACGGAGCTACCGTAAAGAGCAGATACAACACTGCACTGGCTCAAGTAAAATATTTGCATCCTGTTGTTGACATTTAACTCTTTTATTTTTCTGCCAATATCCCCGTGTTTATGAAGGGCTGCTACATCCCAGCCAAACATTGTGATATCAATTTTTCTAAAAGTTTGCCTACAGCCTGACAGGCAAAGAAGTCCTCTCTACCTTGGATGGTTTCACAGCCAAGGCTGTCAAGGAATGGGTGAAAAGTAATTGTTTTCAAGTGTGCCCTTTTACAATCATTTGTTTGCTCTGGCTCTTTCATGAACAAAGGCTATTGTTGAACACATCCAACTAAACAAATAACTCATCTTGGGGTCCCTTTAACAGCTGCCTTAGTACAATGATCTATTTAAATATTACCCTAAAATTGAAACTGAACTCTTTAATGACATAATCCAGCACTATAATACAGAAGAGGCATATGTTCAACTCAACAGCTGAACAATCTCGTCAGCACATGATTTTTAGACATAAATGATTGTATATCAAATATGGCTTAATGCAATGACTTATTTCACTGGTTTCTTCCTTGTGTTAGCATCAAAATTCTACTGCCTTTCTCTAACTAGATATGACGGCTTACAGAAAACAGATGACAATATTAGTGGTAAAGAATTTCTGTCTCTTGTGTCATCTTCTGTTCCTTCTTCTTTGCACTCTTCCTTCTGTTGATAAACCAATTTAGTATGCTGTGCTTTCCTGTGCATTCCAGGATTTATCTTACCTTTAGTCTACCCGTTCTACTTTCATGTGGCTAGAGATTAAAGGGTGATCTTACAGATGTTGTAAATTAGTCAGCAGCAGGCATAATCATTATTAGGCATGTTGCAATAAATGTTTGGAAGTTTTACATATTTTCCAGAGAGCAGTTAGTTTAAACCACTGCAGTTTGATGGTTTCACATACGACTTTAAAAATTGAAGCAGGAAATTAGTTTACATTTCTTCAAAAGTCCAAAGCCATTGTCAACTTTGAGATCATTTTCAAAGTAGACATCCAACAGAAAAAGCTTCATTTAAATAAGTATTTCAGAATCTGCTTAGAACTGGTTTAGTATACTCCAGGATAAATACATTATTGATTTACTGAAATTCAGAATAGAGACTTGTCCTATCTCCAAGCCAATACAGAGTTACACATCAGACCTCACACAGAGCAAATGTTACCACCCTATTTTGCTTGAGCATTCTAAAAGTTAAGTAACATTGTACTTGATTTTCAGATAATTGATTGACTCTCATTCCTTAATCTTCTGATTAGCTATTATATGACCAAGATTCATTCCAGAAATGACATGAGGGGGTGAATTCCTGTGGTTAATTCCTGGATAGCAGCTGCTCAGGGGGATTAGGATCCTTTTGTCTTAACTTTGAGGACTGAAATGTTGGCAAGCCTGTATCACCAGGCAACGTCAATTACGTTTTCCACAAGAAACAGTAAATTAGCTTTGCCATCCTGTAATTTATTTTTCCCCCCCTGTTCACAATGTGTTCTGGAGTCTTCCAGTAGAAGTACAGTTTTCTGTCTGCATCTCTGTGGAGTTAATTCAATAAACACACTGAATATTTACCTAGTAATACCTTGTGTTTACTTGTACTTCTAAACACACCATCACACTGTTACCACAAGAAAGTCTGAGATGAACTCCCTGATGAAAACTTCAGAGACTTCTGCAAACCAGGTGGTACTACTGCATGTAGGCAAGTACTTTGAAGGGTCTGTACTCACAGCCCTTTGATGGAAGCACCAAAATGGGTCATTTCATCCACTTGTCCAAAGACAAGTGACATGATAATGATCTTAAAAAGTAGTATTTATGTATAGTGGTTTTGCTCAACCCCTGATGGCCTCAGACTTTGTCCTGTTTGGCAGCCAATGACCTGATTGGATTGTACAGGCCCTTCCTTCCCTGTATCACAATCATAGCATCCCTTAGGGAAGTTCAGCTAGTGCAGAACATTGTCTCAGCAGCATGGATTGCTGCAAGCATGTCAGTTGTCTTCTCTGCTACCTGGGGTGCAATCCTCAGCAGTATTCAAGTGGAAAGTTTTAGTTGTTATATATTTTGGTTATAGTTTATAGCAGTTATCATTATATTTTTACTTCTTGTTGTCAAGATTTACCATATCTAGAACAACATCTGAAACTCAAGAAAGAAGACTAAGGGTAAGAATTCTACTGCTATGGCCCAAATGGGCAAAAGGAATCTAAATTTTTTCAGGAGAGAAGAACCTGTGGCCATGGAAGAAATTCCCAAAAGAATTCAGGATTAAGGCAAACCTTTTGCTATACATGCAACATGCATGGGTCATTTCTGTCTGATTGATTGCTGTCTTAAAACTTAAAAAAAAAAAAAAAAAAAAAAAAAAAAAGACGAACCCTTTACAAAATATGTGGGATAATTATATTCTCAAGAAAGGTTTGAAGTGAGATAATAAACTATATGAGGCAGATGTTAATCACATTACTCACCTGCAGGTGCTATGAAGCTGAGGATAGTTTGACAGCAGATAGTCTGAAGAACAGAACATTTAATGCATTTAGTGATCCTGGCAAACCTGGAGGAATTCTTTTTGAAGCCAATGGCAGCACATCCACAATAAGGGTAGAAGCCAAATGGCGTTCTTCTAATCAGTGGTCCAACTTCCAACACTAAACTTTAGTGCACATTTCAGATGGTCTTTTGACAATATATGTATGGTAAGACTAAATTTTCCTGGATAGAGATTGCCTTCTAAATTAAGGTTGTTATAAATAGGATGCTGTTTAAATGTATGGGCCATATATTGTGCAATATTTTGAATACATACCTGTTTTAAACAATTGAAAGTGCATTTCTCTCAAGCATTTGAGGTCTATGTAATTATGCCCTGTAAATAAAAAGCTGAGTTCAGACCTGTGTTATCAAAGTACAGTATCCTAGAAGAGAGCTGACCTATGAGACAGCAAACTGAAGCATATTCAGAGTGTTCCTGCACTAAATAACTGATTTATCAAAAGCAACTTAGATAATTCCCTATAATGTTACATGGCAAGGGAATGACATTGGAAAGTCCTTCCGTAAATGAGTCCAGAGATACAAACTATAGAAAAACTAGCAATATTTTCAAACGTGTGATTTGCAAATATTTACAAATTTCATACAATACATGTATTTACAACATCAATATTTTTTAACATAAGTGTCTTACAGTCTCTGTTTGTAACTGTGTTATATAAATAGTAGAAAGAACCTGAGCTTTGGTTTTGCACTGGTCAGATTCAGACCCTCTCAACGGAGAGAACACATTTCCCACTGCCCACTATTGGGATGAATGACCAAAAAACAATCCATGTAGTTAACAATACATTAATAAAGTACATGCATTCAAAAGCTAATAAAGACAACTATGCTGTTTTCCATTATTTTTCATTATTTGATGACTACTTAGGCTCCTGTGTTTACTTAAACACATCATCATTTGTGGTTTCGTGCCTCTTTAAGTGCTGTACATCCATAATATATGGTTTTTTCAGGACAAAGTTACAGTTTCCACATTGACACAAACAAGACATTGCAAATTCTACTTTTGCACTTAAAATAGAAAAATATGTCTGAAAACATACAGGGTTTCCCACCTCCAAATAGTGTGCCTTAGAGAGAGCAAAAGGCAGAGCAGCATTTAAAGCATGAAAAATCCATGGCACCTGCTGAATTCCACAGTAGTCATTTCCGCAGCCAGGCTTTGTGTTGTTCAGATACACCTATTTTACAAATACATGGTTTTCCTGATGTGTTGTGATGCGAGAATTTTAATTTTTAGTCTCTAAACACTTGAGTAGGCCACCTTACAAGTTAGGATTTTAGGTATTTCAGAGAAGTGGGTGGGCCTGATGGTCTAAGTCCCTCTTATATAAATGATTCCTCTAGTTCAGAGTTTGTCTATGTGATGGCGGGCACGGGTGCTTAAAATAACTTGAGTATGGTTATTCTTATCTGAGAAGCAAGCTCAGATAGGAAATCTATACTTATGGAAGATTTTGTGAGAACCCTCTATAAGAAATCAGAGAAATTAAATTCACACTGTACCAATGGCATATTGCTCATTTCCTAGTAATAGCTTTTGCATGAAACTCGATGTGTTCATAGTAACTGTATTGGTTCCATTAGCATTATTTGTGGCGTTAGGCCATGCAATCTGTCTTTGTGGAGGATGGGGACAGAGGTCACAGGTTTACTTGTCTCTGGTTTGTGGCTTGCAGGTCCTTTCTGTTACCAACAACACAGAATGTGCGAAGCTACTGGAGGAAATCAAGTGTGCACACTGCTCACCTCACGCTCAGAACCTATTCCACTCACCTGAGAAAGGGGAAACTGCTGAAAAAGAGCTAATGCTTCCCTACCTGTGCAAAGACTATTGTAAAGAATTCTATTACACCTGCAGAGGCCACATACCAGGTAAAACTCATAACAAAGTATGGGGCTAAAGGATGTCCTGATATGTTGATATTGCCTGAGCAGTTATAGATCCAGCTTTTAAACAGGAAAAATCCCCACTGACATCCAGGGGAATTTGCTCAAGCAGGGACAGAATGTCTTCACAGCACATCTTGTGTGGGGAGATAAATACTTTGAGGGCTTTCTTGCCACCCTCCTGTTAAACTCACCCTGAAACACACATGGTTAGATTGTTGTCAAAGGCACGTGAAACTCTTACCTTTGCTGAAATATTATTGCATTCATTCTAATAATGCAAACAAGCAGCTGGCCATCCAGAAGGCTATTCTAAATGATAGATTGCTTTAAAATGCAAGAAATGGCTTTTTGCTGTAGCCTCTAAAAGCTGATGAGTAAAGTGTTTTTTCTGGTTTTGTTACCCTAGAAACTGATGTTTTTTCCACAGGGTTTAAAACCCATTGAAATCAAAGGGCCCCATTTGATAGACTTCTGTGATCTTTGAATCACTTCCAGCGTGCTGTTAACAAGCAAATTCTTAACTTACCTAACACTTCCTCACTGTATTCAGTGGAGTTAGCTGGACATAGCCAAAAGCGGAGTTTGCCCTGTGTTGTCTGAGGCAGTCACCAAATGTGTGCTATCACTTGTAACTATATCAACAAAATAACCGCAGAGGATGGCTCTTTTAGAAACACTGTCTTAAGACACTATTATGTTAAATAACATCTTTGGTATTCCCAATAGTAAATTATTTATATGGTTAAGACTGTCATTTTTAAACTATGCTTTTTTCCCTGTCCAAACACTACTTATAAACAATGCCACACAGGAGAAAATAATTAAATAGGTTAAGATTTCTTTTTTTTTTTTTTTCTTTAAACTAGCAACACAGACTGGAAAAAAGGACTTGTTAATGAGATGAAAAATGAATTTGTGAATAGTCACTTTTAATGTATGAACACAGCTTTGTAATATAATATAAACATATTTGAGTAAAGGGGATAGTTTAAGTAGATGGGATTTGGAGGACGGTTTTTTAATTGCATGTTCACAGTGTGTACTTGTTTTCTCTGAAACCCCAAGAGTGCAGGGATTTTTTTGCAATGTTCTTTTATTGACTTGAGAAAACATTTTGAATTGACTTACTTTTTCCCTTTACTGTGCTTTAACATGTATCTCAACCCATTCAAATATGAAAATATTATTATTGTCTTTATAAACTAAGAGATGTTTCTAAGGCTTTCTTAAACCAGCTGTTTCTTGCTCTTTATCACATTCCCCAAAGCAAAGCAGAATAGATCATATTTGCCAAGACTGCCTGCTGAACAGCGATAACAGATTAGATATTCTAAATGTTTGGCTCATATAAGAAGTCAGCACAAAGACATTTTTGACATGAGTTTGTAGCTAGCACAAATGATTTTCATATTCTGCAAAACGAGACCCTCAGAGTTGTTTTGTGACATTCTGTGTTTATGAGGAAACAATTTATTTAATTGAAAAAAGTGAGAGGGAAAAGAAGGAAAGAAGGAGGAGGTGGAGGGAGGGAGGGAGAATGAGAAAGGGCTGAGCAGCACAGGAGCTACAGCCACAGGAACCTCGCTCCTCAGATCAACATATGTGGTGACGAATGACAAATTTATTTTTCTACAAAGTTTTGTGTATATGTAAAACTGCTGAAGTGCATCAAGATGTCAAGTGCTTTTTGTGACCACCCAGGTTGCCTTGAAAGATAACCAGATGAAAGCATAACTTTAGCACTGGGCAGAGCACTGTGCTTTGCAGGAAAAGAACTTACATACTTCAGCATCAGTTAAAATAGGATTTTTCCTACATCAATCAGATGCTAATAATTGTTTTAAATACTTTTCCTGAAAATAGGTTGTACTAACAAAAACTTGTTGCTTGCTTTCATCCACCAACAGGATTAATTTGGTGAGTTGACTGGTACTCATGGTCGTGGATATCTATTCTAGCATTTCCCAAATGTATTCATTAAGATTCAGGTCCCTCTTTTTAAGAAGATGGCCTATAGGATTTTAATGCAGTTCTATAATCTTGTACATTCTTAAACATAAGTAATTAAAATTACTTATTTGGGGGTTCTGTTTTCCTTGTGAGACTTGTATATCTGTAATAATATTTATTGCAAAAGAAAGAAAAAAAGTAGAAAATGTGGAAGCTATGTTTTCAGCTTAGCCTGGAGGATTTTACAAAGAGTTGAAAATTAGCAGGCCCCCAAACCCAAGGTCTCTGGCAATGATTCACTGTGCATTTGTTAAAGTGTCGAATAATTACTCTTCCTCCATTAGGGAGTGCTAATTGTTTCTGAACACCAATACAACAGAGATTAAGGAAATTGCTGACTACAAAAATAATTTTATCCCTGTGCAAATGAGAAATATTATTAACATTTTAAGACAGCAAGCATCTTTTCTGGGACTGAAATGTTAGCAGTACATCTTAACCAAGAAGGCTGGGAAATTATGCATCAGTTTTTTTCATGACTTAGCTTCAAAAATTCATTTATGTTTTGTCTCCTGCAAAGATGAAAACTCTAGCAGATCCTTCGTTAACTCTTTTGAAGACAGCAGTTTGCCCACCAGTTATGACTTTATCAGAACTTCTACTGACTTCTTAAGAAATATTGAGAGAAAAGGTGGCCCTTATTCTTTATTCAAGCAGAATTATATCAGAAGCTGTTAGGATTGTGTGGATGAGCAGGAGGGTGTAATGTTTCACAAAGACTTTGAGATTAGAGCTTCTCTGCTTCATTCCAGATAACTGTTCTGATTATTTCTCATATAATCTTTACTACAAGCCTCGGTTTAAGGGATTATTGATGGAGACACTGGAGTTAAGTGATTTAATGAAGTGTCTTCAGTCAATATGAATTTTAAGTTTTCCCTTTCCGTAAGGGAAGACTGTCTAATATTTATTACTAATATAGCTAATAAAGAAAGCCACAGCTGATTCTGCCTTTAGACATAATCAGAAACTTGATCCATGCCATTGGAAGTGGCATATTCTAAGGAACAAACCTGTGCCACAGCCATGGTGCCATCCAAGGACATGGGAGAGATTTTGAGCTATCTGACCTCTATTATTTTCATTTGAAGAAATGGGTTCCAGATGATTGTGGGTGAAATCAGATCCAGGCCCAGATCTGAATCCAGACATTACCAGAACAGATGTCTGATAGGATTTTTCAAGCACCAAACAGGGTGTTCCAAAATGTTGGAATTCTAGCCCAAAACACTGGAATTCTAAGACATTCTACAACTCACTGAGCACTTCCAGAAGTTCTAAAATGACTGATTAATAGTCACAGTCAACATAGTCAACCTTCAGAAAAATAGTAGTGGATGGTAAATTTGCTGCTGGTAACAAGAGCATGAAGGGGATCAACCCTGGCCCTGCCTGTGTGCAGGAACCTGCAGTGTCTGAGCAGAAGAGGGTCACCAGTCATTTGAAAACCAGCTGGAAATTATGTTAGCTACCAGTGGACTTAGTACATTTTAAAACAATCTGTCTGAAATCATTTGGTCTTTGGTTTGGTTTTTACTGGCTGTTGAGAAGAGAGGAGAATGTGGGGTTTTTGTGAACAAATTCACATTTAGCAGTCAAAGATACAAATCAGAAAAGAAATCCCCAAAAGGTAAAGGCTGCTTTGACACAATGTTGAACTCTGTGCTCAAGGTCACAGCAAAAATAAAGCAGGTGAGCCTGATATCCAGATGCCCTCAAAGGCTCTGCAGGTTTACTCAGATGAGCGGATGACACTCAATCCTGCATGCAATGCCAAGTCTTTGACTTGCTGCAAAGACTGAGACATGTGCTACCATGGCACTGGAGTTGTGTGTCAAAGAGAAAAGGAAAGGGAATGGGAAATCAGGGAATCCTGCAAAGTGAAATTTGGTGAAGATAGGACAGGAAGGGAGATACAGTGTGAGGAACAACTGGCTGCAAAACAAGTGGAGAGAGGAGGTGGGGATCAGCTGGGAGCAGTTTTCCTTTGAAAAGGCTTTTAATCTTGCAATTTATTCCCACAGTGTTTTATAAAGGCGAACACAGAAAGCCTTCACTGTAGCTGCCTTAACTGAAAAGCCTGTCGTTGGATTCTTGTTTGCAAGACAGAAAGTTTAGCATAGAAATGCAAGCCTGTGCAAAATCTGACACTTAAACATGATGTTTAATCATCCTTTGTGATTTCAATTTTCTTTGTTAACACAGGCACCGCTCTGTCAACGAATACACAGCTGGTAGGAAGTTTGTAATAATAAGTATGAGTTTTTTAAAATAAATTAGTTAGTACAGAAATTCACACAGGACCAAGGGTTGCAGTCCCTATTACTTTTTTTTTTTCTTTTTCTCCAAACAATTCTAGTGCTTAGGGGCACTTGTCAGGGACCATTCTTCTGGACACTGTACAAACTCTGAACAAAATGGCAAACTGTACACTAAAGACCTTACAATCTAAGCATGAGAAAGAAGATAATAAATGGCTACAAGCAGATAGGAGTGCAGAAGCAAATGTTTCTCTAAATGTCCTCAGTGAAGCTGTTAGTATGTTAAATGGAGCATATATAAGACATTTTTCCTAAATTACTGTTTTTTATAGAACAAAATAGCAAAATTCCGCCCTTAATGCACAGGTGAAACTGTATTTACAGAGGTCACATTCCTTCCAGTAATGCAACATTTTTCATAGTTTAATTCTAGCTCCACTTTTTTACAAGCATTTCTAATGAAAATGCTCCATAAGCCTTATCCTTTCCAGAATCTGCTGAAGGGTTTACTAAACAGCAAAAGGCAACTGCAGTGCAGCATGCACTTTAGTGCATGATAAAATATTTCATGAGGCAAAGGGATTAGTCTTACATACAAGAAAAGGCATTGCGCTGCTCAAGTGAGTTTGCATCTGATTGTTATTTGAAATGGACATGAGTGAACAACATGATCACAACCTGCTCTGGGTTTCCCTGACTAAAGATAACACTCAAGCCAAGAGAAGTTCATCTTTAGTGATTAGTAAATTGTATACTTGGAAAATTCTAGAAATTCTTAGTAATCATACACCTCTAATCTGCTATTGCATTTTTTCAAATGACCCACTGTGCCTAGAGAAATAAATTATTAAAGACATACCCCTATATTCTTAAGTCAAATAATTCAACAGTAAGATTTTAGATTACCTTTGATTTTGGCATTGTATTTACAAGCCTTGGAATACTACTCTATGATTATATCAGAGTTCCTCTTCAGTTGTTCCACTTGAAATTACATCTCCCATTTTCTCTAAATAACTACTATAAATTAAAAGCAGCTCTTCAGAGATGAAATTTACTGAAGCTCCAAATCATGGTAATTAAACTTTTACACCACAACACACTACCATGTGTTTCCAGATATTATTTTATAGAAATCAAAGGCAGGCTTTGTCCTGTCATTTTTTCCAATATTTTTAAAGGAAGATATATATGAAAAGAAGTATAGTTGGGTGGGAAAGGCTTTTCACTCCACAAGAATTCTGGGATCCAAAAAATTTTCCTATTCCACATAAGGAAGAAATTGAACTCTTTCGAAATTTTCCATGAAGAAAGCCACAGAGAGACCACCCCAGGATAGCTAATAAAGTCGTTGTTAGGACATTTACTTGGGAAATGGGAGACTTAGGGTCAAACTCTTGCCTGACAGATGAGGGGCATTGACCTGAATATTCCTCTTCCTAATGAAACACCCTAATTACAAGACATTGGAGTATAGTGATACAAGGTTTGCTGTCTGGTTCTGTCTTTTTCATTTAGACCAGAAGTTTGAGCTTGGACCAGAAACATCATGTTAAGTAACATTTTGTCAAAACTGATAATGTTTCTGAAAAAGCTTTGCTTGTAAGAAATTGGCATTTTCCAACGAAACACAGCTGTCCCTGATCAGTTCTTATTGTATGTTGTAAGCCAGAAGTTTTATGGCAAAGATCTATGGATTACTGCATTATTCACAAGTGGTAAAGCCGTGCATAAATTAGGCCTCTAATTCCAATTAAGTGCTAATTCTGTGTATCCTATGAGTTATGTCCTGGACTATAGTACATCCTAAGACAGTTGCCAGTAATGCAAACAGGAACAAAGGTAACTTAAGACATATCATCTCGACAATGTTCTGGTACGTCTGTAACTAGCCAGACTCTGTCCTCTTAAATTTAATACTCCTGATTAAAACCTAGATTGAAATGACTAGAAATAGGTTTGTGAACAAAAATAGATTTTTTTTTAATGTCCTTAAACATAATGCAAGAAAGTAATAGCAATAGTGGCAGGGTTTTTCTTCAAAGGCTCCCCATTATATCAACTTTGTGTTTCTTTGGGTCTTCAAAGTCCTTCCCATTTTCACCTAAAACCTAAGGACCACCTTTCATCCATTGCAGCATGAGACATATCCCCTTTTCAGGGGATGGGGCTGAGGAAGTAGACTTCACCAAGGGACACTGCTCAGCTACTTTAATGCTGGGAGTCAACCAGAGGCCAGCTGGATGTCAACGTGGTACAGTTTTCAGCACTACTTCCCACTTCTCACCTCTCCAACCAATGTCCATTGCTGGCACCATTCCACAAAACTTTTACTGCATGTCTTTTATCAGAGTCTTCACTGAGATTTTGACTAGAACTAATCAGTTATTTTAAAAAAGTTAAACAGAAGCTGCTCAGGCTATTTTACAGCAGATACTACACTTGATTGATAGGGTTAAAATTAGGGGGAAGTGCGTCACAGCCTCAACTCTGAACTTTGTCTCTTAATTTTTTAGTGAGTGAACGATTGTGTCATTTTGAATGAAACTTAAGCACATTGAAAATGAGGTTTAATACAAATACAGATGAATAAACTGTGAAAGGCAATGCTCAGTTTGTGTTTATACATTTGTGTTTACTCAGAGCAGACTCTCTTTTTGCAGATAGCCCTTTGTTTAAAATGTCTTTTTCCACTATAATCTATTTAAAGACGAGTATGATGACAAAAAACTGCAGACATGACAACACACTAAATATTTGTATGCTCTTTTGCATTTTTAAGGTTTCCTCCAAACTACAGCTGATGAGTTTTGCTATTACTATGCAAGAAAAGATGGTGGTGTGTGCTTTCCAGATTTTCCAAGAAAACAAGTGCGAGGGCCAGCTTCTAACTCCCTGGACCACATGGAAGAATACGACAAAGAGGAAGAGATCAGCAGGTTCATAAAGATAAATGCTGTTTAATCTGAAAAAAAAACCCTAGCAAAGCCTGTGGTTTTCACAGTGAAACAGCTCCGTGTGTGCTTATTCTGAGCAGCTGTGTTTTCCAGATGTGAATTTCTTTTGCTGCTGCTAGAGTACGTCAAAAGAGAAAGTTACACCAGCTTCAGCACTTCAGTACCATTTGATATTTGCCTTGCTGAAAAGGTGTTAGAATCCTGCTCTGATCCACCCTGTGGATCTTGGTTATTGTCCAGCCCGTGGATCATTCATTGTTCTGGGAAGTAATCTGTACCTAAATTTAATATTACTAAAAACCTACAATAAGTTTATTACTAAAATGTTTATGTTGTGATCTTCAGTTTATTTCATTTGTGGGGTTTTTTTTCTGAAAATAATTAAATTAGATTATTCCATCATAAGTCATTATTTTAAATTGGATATTAGAATTCAAATTTTATCCAAGTGATGAAATTTACTGTGTTTATTTTATAGTCAAAATTCTGTATTTCTAAGTTATTCTCTTCTTTTGCCAACTTTTTTCCCCTCCCATTGCTCTACATTTTGGATCTAAGTTTATTTAATGTTCTCTTTTTTGTATGCAGACCAAATTTTCCTCAAGTGAAGTTAAAGCTGATTTTTTGTATTATGTGCTTGCATACATTCAAGGGAATAATTTGTACACATTAATATATTAAAAATGTTTTATTATAAACCTGTTTTTAATATCATTGCACAACAACAATTTTATCTTTTAGGGACACTGTTGTGTCATGGTTACGAAAAAGAATAAATGTCTCACTATTTCTTTAAATTTCTTTAGAAAACACAAGCACAACTGCTTCTGTATTCAGGAGGTTGTGAGTGGACTAAGGCAGCCTGTCGGAGCAGTACATTGTGGGGATGGATCCCATCGCCTCTTTATCCTTGAGAAAGAAGGATACGTGAAGATTTTCACTCCCGAAGGAGACATACTCAAGGAACCTTTTTTGGATATACACAAGCTTGTTCAAAGTGGAATAAAGGTTGGATTTTATACTTACCTCTACCTTTTTATATTTTAGCATGTATATGGGAGAAATGGGAAGAATATTTTTTAGTTATTAATTAAATTTAAATAACAAAAAAGAGTAACGACGAGAGACACCACAGTTCTTTCTGGCAAAGAAGTGAAAACTCATAGTGGGAGGGGAAAACAGCGTGTTGTAACTCTTATCAAACTATTTTCTTCCCTTCATTTTTTCCTCACTTTAAATTCAAAATGAAACTATTCAGCACCAGCATTCCATGGCACTATCTTTGTATTTTCATCCTTTGGGCTCATTTCCATCCCATTGAATTCAGATGAGTTTTGCTGTGGTGCCAGGGGGAGCAAGTTTGGCTTAGGGCCTCCCCTGCCCTCCAGATGCTCTGTGATGCCCAGGGAGCTGGACACAGGAGGGGGCCTGGGAATGCTCAGTGATGCCCTGGAGAGGAGCAGGAGTGCTCATTCCCTCTTGGCTCAATCCCAAATGTAGCACAAGCTTCCCTGGGTGGGAGGCTGCTTTAAAACTGTGTGGGTTGGAGTGGCACGTAAAAGTGACTGACTCTCTAAATTCAGACATGAGGGTTGGTGGGTTGAACAGCTTCCTTCCTGTCCACTGGGAACACTTTTGTGGTTGGGGCAGTGAGTGGGGAATGGGCACTGGTGGGAATATGTTGGAAGGTGGAGGTGAGAAGTTACATCTAGTTATGGGGTAAGTACCAAACTCTTAAGTCTGTTGGAAGATATTTTACCTCTGGAATGCTGTCAAGTGTTGTTCCATGTTGATTTCTTGTCACAATTCAGAGTGATAATGCAAGTAAAATTCAGATATATAAAGAAGTTTTAAGTTGTAATCAGGTTATGCCTAGAACAGTCAGGACTATGTATCAAAAAACCTTCAAGGATGAAAGTTATATTGACACACTCTTGACAGAGGGATCTTAAATTATAATTGTGACAAACTAGATCTATTTGAAATGAATAGCACATGTTAACTGATAATTTTGTTTCAGCTGTAAGGGCAAGAGGCCAATTAGGATAGACTTTTCTGAGTGAAAATCTCAGAGGTTTTTAGTGTGTATTGAAAAATAGAGTGATGAAACATATTGCACCTTTTTCAGGAAAAAAAAAAACCTACTTTATATGATTATGTATTTTGCTGAATGCTTCCCTTTCTGCCCCTGAAGATAACCATTATGTTCAAGATATCCAAACAGAATGGACTAATCAGGGGTGTTTTTGGACAGCCATCTAAGGCTGTTTCATATTTCTTAACCAAAAGTTCTGATCACTTGTACTCGTGGAAAACTGACAGTGAAATTTCCCCAGAACTGTTATTGGTCCCAGAGAAACCTTTCTTGAGGAAACTTTTACAGCTGCAACTTGAAGACAAGGCTAAATGGAAAACTGATTTTCCGTGCTTCTGAACAGGCACTAACCTGCTTGATATGACTCCCAACAGGTACCCTCAGGATCAGATACAACTTTCAGTTCTGTTTTAAATCCGTGACCTGATCTTTTTAAAAAGTCATCATGTAATGATCTACACTGGATCTGTTTCAACTATAACATTTTGTGTAAATAATTTGATGTTTCTAAGCTAGAAAGTCTAATTCAATTCCCTGAGATAACAGTCCAGTGACTGAGGATAATTGTGTTGCAGTATTTAATGGAGGCTGGCAAGAATGGAGGCTTTATGTACTTTGCAGGGAAGGAGAAAGGGAATGTGCCTAGGAGCAGGACTCCAGCTCTTAAACAGAAAGAGTAAAGAATTTGTGGAATGAGTACATTACATAAAATAATAAATAAATCAAAAACCCCAAACCCCATATAACCTAAATGATAGTTTCAAAACAAGGGTTCTTAAACATTTTTACATTTATCCTCTGCAGTCTAGTTCCAGTAATCATGGTCCATGGTCCCTTACCCATAAGGATGGGAGATCACTGTGGCAATGGCAGCACTGTCACTACTTGGTAGAGTACTTGGTTTTACTTACCTGTTACACACTTCAATAGTAGAAATCAGTAGTACTCTGTGGACAGATGATTTTCCAGCAGGCAGTGCAGAACAGTCAGCAGTTACAAAAAACCTCAACAAACCGCTGTGTAAAACACCGCATCCACTGGCACAGTGCAAACATCATGGAATGTGTCCTCTGTGCTCACTTAGGAACCATGTATAGTGCCAGAATTTGGATGTACACACTTTGAAGAAAACAAAAACCACTCATCTGTTTTCCAGCCTCGGAGCAATAATAGCAAGAAAAAGCAAACAATTTTTTTTTCCCTAAAAGAAGTGTAAAAATTTTCTCTCTTACACTCAAGTGTCTGAAAACAGCCTCATCTGCTATTTTCTTTTTCTACCTGAAATACAAACAAATACTTAACTCCAGTGACAGTCAAAACAGCAAAAATACTTTTTCAGATTTTAGAGACATATATTGTACTCAGTAAATAATCAGAATAATGATAATGACCATGCCAATAATGCAGCTGTGGTTGAATCAAAGGTAATATAAACTGATGCCTCTGAAAAGAATTTTGGACAGCTATCCTATTAAGATGTTTATAATACCAGTAGATGGAATAATACAGTGGTGGTTGATTTTGTCTTCTTTTTTTAATGTCAAGAGGAAATTTAGCAGTGATAAAATCATTACATTGTCACAAAGTAGCAAATCTGTTCCAAAGAATCAACTTAAAACTATCCTGAGGCTGATATAACTAAGAAACTGAAGTGATATATTTCCTTCATAAAAATAATCCTGGAGATTAGTTTTGATCTCACTAACATATTTCACTCACTACAGCACTGGCAGTCAGATAAGGAGAAAGACAATATACAAAAACAGAGGAAGAGAGGCGATTGCATTGTATAACAATGAGTCATGTTTCCCTCCTAAAAAGATGCCTTTTTGTTTCTCTAATGGTCCCTGGTCCCTGTGTTGATGAAATTCATTTGAAACCCGTAACATTGCTCTAAGCAACTTTGTAGGGCTTCTTCATGGGCTCTGCTGCCCTGAGCACATCAGTAGGATTGTATGGGCTTGCTTCTTGTCCATCACTCCTGGGAAGGTCTGTAGATATAAATAGAAAGTAAGTGAGAAGAGTGGTACAACTCTTTGCCTAAGTTTTATTGGTCCATTAGCTTTTAATGTTCATTGAAGTCACTGAGGTTCTCTGCTTGAAAATTGTTGCTGCAGTACAATTACTGACAATTACATGATTTAATTTGAAGGAGTTCAAATTAAAAAGGAGCAGCAATAATTTTATCTGCTGCCAGTATCTCAGAAGGAATTAGCACAAGTGTGGAGAAGCATTTCATAACAGAGATATATTCCATGAATGGATGATAGTGACTTATGCTTCTTGGTGGCCCTACTCAAGAGAACATTAGATGCAGGATTCCTGAAGATTTAAAAAAATTTTTAAAAAAGCTTAAGAACCAATTTTTCTTTGCACGTCTCCCGATTTCTAAAACTCTTTGACAGCACAGTTAGCAGGAATGCTTTTTTGATCTTCTATTTTTTAACTTAGTTGTTGGAAGCCATTAATGGTTATTAATCAACGATTTGCTAATTCAACATCTGTGGCCTTCTCCAATGCATTTTATGTCACCCTGGCTACATAAGTATTGTAGTGTGTGGACACTTGGCCAACCCACTCCTGTCACGTCCTCCCCTCTTCATGAATGTGGTGACAAGAAAAACCCATGTACCTTGGTCTTGCCTCAAAGTTGAGCAAGGACATGAGTGAGACATGGACCTGTAACTCAAATCTAGACCATACCTGCCTCAACTATTTAGGAATATCTAGCCCAGTGTAGTGGAGAAAATACTGATTCCATCCTGTAATATATTAATGTACCCATTAATATTGTGAACTATCCTGAGTGTATACAGAAGAAAAGAATGAACCTTTTACCAAAAAACCCTCATATTACACCCAAACTAAAAGTCTGCTTTCTCTGTTTTGGTGATTTACTGCTCCATTGTGTTGTGGTGAAGAGAGCTGTTAGTTGCAGAGCAACATTTTACAGTTCTTCCTTCAAAGTTATGTAGCAAAGACAAATTTTTAATGAAAATATTAGAACTCATTTTTTCTTTGTCTGATTTTCACTGCTTTTATTTTCTTTCTGTTTTAAACTATTGCCAAGTAGAAAAGAGGCAGAAAATTGAAATGAGAAGCTATTGAACTAATAATGGTAACACTTTAAGTGGCATTTAAGGAGACCTTAATCAATTATCTAGAAAGTTTAGACCTGATGTGTCTGAATCTCTTGTCAAAATTTAGGCAAAAAAATTAAAGGCTCCAAAAGTATCATGCAAATACAATTTTATCTCATTATGCTCTCAGCAGGGAAAAAAAAAAAGTGTTAAAAAATTCCAAACACTTGGATTTAATGATTTCCTGAGATGTAACAATGCTGAATATGCTGTTGTTACAAGATCAGTCCAGTCACCTGGTACTCAAAATTGTATCTAACTTACAAAAAAATAGTCAATGCTGTAGCAGTTCTCCAACTTTTCATACTCCTGTGATTGTATTTTATCTTATAAACTGTATTATTTCTTAAGATTTGGGAACCTTTAGGTTAGCAGCAATCACCATAAAATGTAGCACAACCTATTACATCAATTTTCACTTACTTTCTTCTCTCCTGAGCCCAAAAACCTGTATTGGTCTAAAATATATTGTTCAGAAGGGAAGGCATCAAGGTACGGTTTGGCAACTACAAAAAAATTAGGAACTTACCACTTCTCTTGGGAATTAAATGCTATAATCACCTTTCAGGATACTTTCTGAAAAGCTAAGTAGCTCTAGGGCTGCAACTGTTCATCCTTAAATCATTTTTGTGGTCCTTCCCTATAATCATTCAGCTTCCCCAAATCCTTTTAAAAATAAGGACCTCAGAACTGTACAAAGTAGCCAAGTTTACTGCTGCCAATGGTAAAATCAAGTGCCTGTAGTTAGAAAGTCGTTTTCTACTTATAAATCC